CCATTACCCCCTTTATGTTCCATGTTACCATTTTTTTTCAACTTTTCAATATTAAAATAAATAGTTGAGAGTGGGATATTCATAATATTATGTAATTGATGAGCAGAACATATCCCCTGATTCCAATAATATAATAAGGCTGTACGTTGCTGTTCTTTTATAGATTGTGTCATTTTATTAGCAAATTACACAAAAAATTTTTATTCGATTTGGTTAAAAGATAAAACAGACTAAATCTAATAAAGAAAGGCATTGTTTTGAATTTTATTTGATGCGGATCAGACCATTTTGGTAAAGTTATTAAATTTTTTTTTTACATCAAAAAATTTCCAATTTTTTTTTGTAACACACTGTAATTAATTGTTTAAGGGCATGTTGTTGCCACTTCAATAGTTTAACTTCCCAATCATCAATAGTTATTTCGATTATTTCCCCAACTATCTCTTGGATTTTTGTTATATTAGAAGGTTCAAAGAACATGGATTCTTCCTGTAAATAAATAATATACATTATTAGATAAATGTTTCCTTTATGTGACCATTGTATAAATTTATTCATACATCAAATTCTTCATCATCAGTTGTTGGTTCAGTGTATAATGGTCTTTTCTCAATTCTCTAAATGGTGCATTAAATAAATTATGTGATTTGTTAAATATAAGAATCAAATCGGTTATTAAAAGAGAACTTGAGTTATTACCTTTTTTGTGGGTGACTGTATCATTCTTGTCTGTAAAATTTTTTCGTTTTTCACCTATCTGCTCTGTATGAACATCAAGAGTTGCAGATAGTGTACTCTTCCACTTGTTTTGTTGCAACTATACATGAAGTCGAAACTATTTTGACCATTTGCAGATCTGGTCGAAATAGGGTTGAAATAAGGTCGAAACTGATTTTTACTATGTAGTTGCCTCAAGTCAAAACATTTCGACTTTGGTGTTTTAATTTCGACTTCATGTATAGTTGAGTTGCAACAATAGTGATTGTTAAACGTTGCTCTGCCTACATATAGAGAGAAAGAATGAAATGACTTGAATTATATTGATGAAAGCTGAAGAGAAATACTTTTATTACCTTCAATCCACGAACTTCTGCATCAACCTTTAACTCTTTTAAGCTTGCCTGTTTCTCAGCCATTGCTTTAATCCAAAAATCATGAATACATCCATCAATACCTAAACCCTCCTGAAAGAAATCAATTTTAGCTGGCCAGTTTTTATTAAAAAATATATATATGAAACAAAATCGAGATTTAGCCACACTCCTGTGAAGTTCATGAAAGGATTTCGGTGGAACTGTAGTCCCTCGCCACTCAAGAACCATAGTCTAGTGGTTTGCTTCAATCCCAGTTGCAACAGGGTGGAACCGTAGTCCATACATGGGCAGGAACCATAGTCCCCCATAACTCGCAAAAGCATGGCCTCACCTTAAATTGGCTTGACATCCTTTCTGCAGATTTCTTTTCTTCTTCTGAGCCCTCATTTTTGAACCAGTCAAGTTGTTTATAAAGTGCCGTTGTAAGCTTCCCCTTGTTCATTGGGTATTTATAAACACACCATTCCTCATGATACTCATCTGGAAAATATAAAAAAAATTTGCACATGTCAATTGTAAGATGTCAATTGTAAGTTTAATAATAAAAAAGTGTAAAACTTATGTTGGCACTGTAAGATTTATGTGATATTACATTGGCATCATAAGATTTATGCTAGTTTATGCTAAATTAATTTCCTGATGCTCAAGAGCGTCCCAAGCTTCACAGGGTGTTGTTATGAAGTAGGAAAAACCTGGTTTCTCTTCAATTTTTCTTGGCATTATTTGAGGAAATTTTTTTTTAATTTTTTGTCATACCCCAATACAATAGCATGTAACAATCAAATCTAGGGTTAGAGAATGTTACACACTAGTATTTCGTTGATCCAATTCTAGGGTGAGCATGATGTTCTGGCATCAGCTAGTAATTTGATTATTAATCAATTAATAATTTTGATTTCTTTGTTCGCAAATTTTTATTATGAATAAAAATTTATATGAAATACTTTCAGATAGTGAGCCAGAGGTCAAAGATTATTTAAGTAATTATAATTTTAAATCAAAAAATGGTAATGATGATAATCAAGAGGAAATAATTAAATCCATTTTTATAAATTTGTAAGTTTAATTAATATCTCTCATTCATGTGTGACAAACATCTCTAAAATGAATATTATCATTACACAGGGTAGACAAATATCAACTTGATGAAGATGCAATTGTTGAAGATACACATATCCCAGGGTTGGCAAATTGACTGGTCCATTGAGAACAGATGGATTTTGGACTGGTCCATTGCCATTAATAAAATACTAAATATGGTTAAAGTGTTACACTGATGGGACCCAATGGACCACCAATAGACCATCAATGGACTGCACATTTGCCAACCCTGGCATATCCATAAATATTTATCACCATTAATTGACCCGTTCTTTCCTGAAAATCAAAAAATTAAAGTTGAATGGTGCGTATCCACAATTTGTATAGATATTGTATCAACAAATCATAAACTTTTTATACCTATTTTGTAGGGCAAATAAGATGTCAATATCTTCTGCAGAAGATAGAAGGTCATTTGACCCTTCTCTCTTTGGTTCCAAACCTGATTTTTTAATAAGAACAACAAACACAAACTATGTTGAGCTGCTTCTAGCAGAAATTAAACCTACAAAAGTTTCTATTAAATTATTTAGCAATGATTTAGTTAAGTTAGGAAAAGAGATGAAATCATCAATTGACAAAATCATTGATGAGGGTTTGTTGGATGTATCTGTTTATGGTATACATGGTGCTGGTAATTAACTATTTAAATGTTAATGTCAAAATTTGTCATGGGATTTGACTTTCAAATTTATCACAAAAACTTATTGAATACAATTTTGTAATTAATTTTAAATTTATTTCTAAGGAGAAATATGTAAATGTTATATAATGGATCTAAAAAGTGAAGGAATTTATAGAATGATGGTTTTAGGCAAATTCATAATACCAAGAGACCCAACATCATGGGCAACTGTGATTAACTGTTTCCAGATCCTGATAACATTAAAGGTATGATAAAGTTTATTTGTACATTTCCTTATATTAACACTACATGCTATTAAAAAATAATGTTCATCTTTTCAGGGGCTTGTTTATGAATCAGCCAACAATTATTATGACACTTCCAGGCGAATTTTATATGAAAATAGTGAAAAGACAACATATCAACAAAAATTCAAAAGACATGGTTTTCATTCTCCACTCAAATTAATGGTTAATGGTTAATAATAATGTTTTTTATTGATCTGAAAAAATATTTCTGATAAATTGACAATGATGTAAATATAGTAATTAAAATTATCACCAATTATTTAATAATAAGAATGTTTGATTTTAAAGAGAAATGTAAAAATTAATAAGGCTGATGAAATAAAAAAAATCAAAGTTGGAAAATTGAGACTTTTTTCTTTTCCAAACAAATAATTATTTAACTTTTTTATCAATAAATAATGTAATGATAATGATAAAAAATTGCTACATCATCTCTAATAATTATTTTTGACTTGTCCAAGTGGATCTGTAAATGTTACAGTTCAGTGAATGAGATGACTTCTTGATCCAGCAATTTGATATAAATTGATTAAGGAAACAGATGTCACAAAACCCTTTCAAAAGCTATTGGAAAAAAATCTGAGAAACAGCAACAATAGATTACAGTGTTTGTACTGAGAAAATAAGTGGCATGCTGAAAATATTTCAGGATGTTTGTGCACTTTAGAAAAGAAATTAAGAAAGTTGAGAAAATATATAAAAAAAAGATCCAGAGAAGAAACGCATCCAAGAGAAAAGATACCAGAACATATTAACCCACAAAAGAAAAAATTTGTACTTATCCTCACTTTTAGATATTAATCTTACATAAATGTGGAACAAGTTGCTGATATTACAATGTACAATTGTGGTGTTGAACTGCCCCAAATAGTAATAATTATAAGTAGCCCAAGGCATGTTTCAGACAAAAACACAAAAATGACAGGGTCATGTTAATCACCCCCATTGACAGATACAATTCCTTCTTGATTTATTTATTTCTTCATCCTGTATTTTTCATAATAGAAATAAATCATTAGCAAGAGATCAAGATTATACATATGGAGATTTTAATGATGAGAGTGAAGAATGAGTTGAATACTTTAAGCAGTTATATGAAATCAGTAAAGAGCCTGCCAAGATGAATTACAATCAGGTTCCTGATTTATAGATCGTTCCAAGAGGCTTTAAAGTCCACTCTGGCACTGTTGTGTCTACCTTTAAACTGAAGGAACCATATTGTCTTAAGCATAGTGGACTTTCGATTCGTGTAACGTGACTATTGAAAATTTTTGCCGATCACAATTCATAATAGATACAAAC